GCTGGTCTAAAAAAAAAAAAAAAAAAAAAGATGGTAGATGGTAGTTCTGGATTTTGATCTATTTTAAATGTCTTAATTTATGCGGAAATTTTACTAAGTCTTATCTAGTCCAATCATCCATCTCCCTACTAGCAAAATCCTTCCTTCTATGCATACTCACATCTATGTTTCTTTTCCATATTCACCACTCCAATTCAGTCCTTCATTATTCTGGTTTGGACTATATGCAACAACATCACAGGTACTCTCCCTGCTCTGTTCTCTTTACAATTTCACCTATCTGACATTACCAGGTTAACCTTCCTTAAAACATCACTTTGATTATGAGAGTCCCAAAACTCAAAAACAGTCTGTTCTCGTGCTCGCTTTGGCAGCACATATACTAAAAACAGTCTGTTCTGCACTTCCTACAGGATCATGTCCAAACTCTTTGCCTGATTATCCCAGTGCAATCTACCCTACCATTCCCACCTCTCCCACTGCCCCCTCACTGTTTTCTAAACCCTCTGTATTTTCCCATCTTTGAGTCTTTTCTCAGTCACTCCCCCTACTCATAATATCACTGTCTTTGCCTATTAAATCCATCCAGCCTTTAACATCTACCTCAAAACTCACTAACTGACAACAGTAACAACTGAGTACTTACTATGTGCCATGCACTGTTCTACATGCCTAACATGTATTTATTAATTTAATCCTCACAACAACCCTGAGGCCTTAAGTAATATTAACCCTATTTTACAGATTAGGAACCTGAGCCATGTCATATAGTTCCAGGTCACACAGCTAGTAAGTGGGCAGCTGAGCTTCCAACAAAAGCTGTGTGGCTCCAGACTCCAACTTCAACCATTAAATACTGCCCATTAGCTCCAAGACTCCTTTTTTAACCAAACCAAGAGAAAGTGACCTTTCCTCTCTGAATTCCTAGCCATGTAAGCTAATTTCTGTCTGCATTAGCAGTGCTATCACCCTGACTCCCACATACTATGTTGAAGATAAACAGTAAACAAGAAAGACAAAAATCTTGCCTCAAGGAGCTTACATTCTAGGGAATAAAGACATGCTAATATCCTGATTAGAGAGAAATAAATTTGAGAAGAAAGTCTATGAGAGAGAAGTTGTAATGTGGCCTGGGAATAAAGCAAAGGGGCTTGCTTCCCCAAACTGGCTCTGTATCCAGGAGCTCACCTATACTGCTCCTGCTCATAGAGGTCTGCCACAATCGTCAGCAGACGGCTGATGAAGGACTCACTGCTGCTTTCCTTGCTTGCCTGTGCAGCCAAAAGAGTGCATCTCTTCTCTGTCTCTGCCAGTTTCTTCTGCAGCTTGACATACTCTTGTCGGAGAAGCATCAAGTGCTTCTCCAACTTGGCCACCTCTTCTGCAAGGGAAACAAAGAATCAAGTTTACCATGGCAAGTGCAAAGCAGACAGCATTCACTATTCCCTCATCCCATGGGTGGAAAGGCTACCAAAATGACTGGCCACATGACATTTCTACTATTCTTAGTGATAGTCCTATAGGATCAAAAATGGCTTTGTATCAGGGTGGTGGACAATGGGCCAAGAAGACCATCAGACACACATAAAGATGCTGACAGGCACTTGCCCTGCAAATCCTTTACCATGAAGCCAGGAATCACAGAGAGAAGGATATAAAAATTACCTCAGACTTAATCAAACTGCTAATAGTAATAACTAACTATAACAGGTCACATGTTCTTCTAAAAGCTTTACATGAATTCTCTCACGTAAAAATCTTCATGACATCCCTATGAGGTACGTACTATTACTACTCGCACTTTACAGATAAGGACACTGGGACACAGAAAGATTACAAATTTGCCCAAGTTCATAATGCTGGTGAGAGGTGGGTCTGGGATATGAGGCCAGGCATTCTTATGCCAGGGTCAGTAATCTTATTAACCACTGCCCTGTGCTGCCTGACACCTACCCTCCTTCAGGTGAGAATCAAGGCAGTCAATAATGGTTCAGATGAAAGCAAGTCATATTACACAGAAGTGCTGGGGCAGATAAAAAGTTGAGAACCACTGTATTTAATTCATTAAATTCAACAAACATTTACCAAGTGTCTACTAGGTGCCAGACTGCACAACAGTAACCCAAACCAGACATATCTATCCTCAGAGTTTTTAGTTACTGGGAAAAATAAACATAAATCAAATGATTTTCATTATATTATTAGATTATTTTATATTATATTATTTTATTATATTTTTATAACAATTGAACAATCAAATGCAAAACTACAACTCTAATTTAGAGTGCTAGAAGGGGGAGAAAAAGTCTATAAATAAAGAAATTTAATTTAGGAGGTCAGGGAAGGCTTCCTTGAGGAAGTAACAGTCATGAAACTTCACTCCTCTTAACACCTGGGCTCTGGAGTTTTGGTAGGGAATGGGATTGGGGATTTGTGCAACCATGCAAGTTGGTACTTCTGTTTTCCCATAGGAACCACAGTGCTGCTACTTTCATCGTCTGGGACTTGGTCTCTTCACCCCCTTACTCCCCACCAGATATTCCAAATCTTAACACTGCCCACAATCCCATCTCCCATTCAGGCTGCCTCATTCTCAGCCAATGTCCTGACAAAATTGAGCTACTGCCAACAACTCCCACCATGCCAGCAACTACTCCCACCTACCCTGTGCTTCCTCAGAGAAAGTATTTCTCTCCTGTTAAATTTAGTCTCTCCATCTATGCTCCACATCCCATCACTCCCCGCTCCTCCTCAGGACTTTTGCTTTATCATCAACCACCCCTTCTCCAGGAACTTCAATCTTTCTTTCCACTGGGTGCTTTTTGTCAGCACACAAACCTGTTCAAGCTCTATCCCTTAAAGGAAAATCCTCCTCCTTCACCACATCTGACAACCTCTGCCTTTCCATCTCTAGTTACCACATACCATTTCCTCACCTGCTATTCACCTACCATTCCCTCATTCTGTCCCCACCATTCCCTTGAATCTCCTCTCACCAATGACCTTCTAGTTGCAAATCCGATGGACTTTTGCCAGTGGTTCTCCTCCTAGACCTCTACGACAGCATATGACATTGTTGTTTGCCCCCTTTATTCTCTTATTTCAGCAACCATAATGCCACCCTCTCTCGGAGTCTGGTTCTTTGCCTCTTTCACATGCTTCCCTGCATCGCTCCCCACCCCTGACCACTGACACTCCAGGGTTCTATCTTTGGCCCTTTTCTCAACTATATGTTCTCCCAAGGCAGGCTCAACCAGGTCTCCGGTTTGTGGTTGATACCACAATCTAGGTGCCAATGATCCAAGATCCATCTCACTAATCCAGATCTCTCTTCTTTGCTTCACCTATCCATCTGCCTAACAGATATTTCTCCTAGTGGCACACATGCACTTCAAATTCACTATGCACAAAACAAAACTTCAAACAAATTTGCTCTTCCCTCCTGTGGTCTCCATACTAATAAATGACACCACCATCTATCTCAGTTACCCAAACAACACATGTGAGAGTAATCTTAGATGTCTCTCACTCACTCATATAGTCCCAATCCTACCCCCAACACTTGTCAGCAAAAACTATTGACTTTTTTACACTTAAACATCTCAGGGAAGCCTTTCTACCTTCTGTATCCCCATCTCCATTATGTCTTTAATTCGGGCCCTCACGCATCATATCTAATCTCCTCCACTATGAAAGGATTCATGTCTGAATCTCACAGCCTAACACAGGGCCTGATACACATAGGCTCCCTAAATATTTGATCAATCAAATTGAACAAGTAAAACCCATTTGTACACAAGAGGAAGCCTCTCTTCTCCTCAACTTCATCCCTCTCACACCTGCTACCCAATAGCTGATTCTTTATAAGCATGGAAACAATCAAATACTGGTTCAAAAACAATACAAAAATGGTTAGATAAACTAAGTGGCACATGAGTTTGACGTTATTATGCAACCACTAATGTTTTCAAAGAAATATTTAATACTGAATATGCATATTCAAATAATAATATATTTTTAACAAAAAAGAGCAGACTGAGACTAAATATATTTTATAATTCCAATTTTATTATAAATATTCATATATACCAGGAAAAAAAATGAAGAGTAAAAAGATAAATACCACAATATATCAGTAGGTCTCAGTGAATTTGACTTCTTTGCACTCTTCTGTATATTTCAAGTATATTATACAGCAAATATGTCCTGCTTTCATAATTAGAAAAACGTTTTTAAGAGAAATCTGTTTAAATACTAATAGACTATCTTCTTCATACATACAGTAAAGAACTTTTTTCTCCTCTTCTAAAGGATCCATGTTAAATAAATGCCTGGAGTCAAAAACTGGGTGCAAGTCTCAGTTTTTTCAGTCAACATTCCTGAAAAAGTAAATTTGAAAAGCACTTGCAAGATAAAAATTTGCTTTTAGCTGCTAAACTGATCACTGTGCTCATGAATTACATAGCAGATGAGAATTCCTATAACTAATATTTTTTTCAAAATACTACAATTATTTGGCCTACTAATATTTAAACCAAATATTGCTTTTAAAAATGTTGGCCAGGGATCGATCCGCTGGAGCTGGGATACAGTCTTCTCTCCTGTCCATGGACATCAGAGCTCGAGACTCTTCAGCTTTTGGGTTCCAGAACTTACACCAAGAACACCATCAGCTTCCCTGGTTTTGAGACCCCTGGACATGGACTGACCGACGCTACCAGCATCCAGTTTATAGACGGCCTATCATGGGACTTTTCTTCACAGTCACAAGCCAAGACCGCCTTCACAGAACTCAACCCACACCTTGGGCCCAGAGTCAGAAAAGAAGGATCCAGAGGAAGGTTCTGTGATGGTCTCTTGTCAAAAAGGTGAGCCAGCAGAAAAGTAATTGCGTTAGAGGCGCCCAGCTGGAGAAGGCCAAGATCTGTGGAGACCATGAGCCCTACAGTGCCAGCATGTGAACGAGCAGGTAGGCCTCACCACCGCCACCTGACTCCATCCCCAACCCCACGAGAGGTGCCCAGCCAGAGAGGCCCATGATCCTTGGACACTACACACCCTGCAGTGCCAGCGTGCAACCCAGCAGGTAGGCCTCTTCGCCGCCGCCTAAATCCATCCCCAGCCCCGCCGAGTGCGTGCCGATCAGAGAGGTGCCCAGCTGGAAAAAACCCAAGATCTGCAGAGACCATGAGACCTGCGGTGCCAGCATGTGACCCAGCAGTTAGGCCTCACCGCCACCACCCGACTCCATCCCCAGCCCCGCCAAGTGCGCACTGATCAGAGAAGCAGCCAGCCAGAGAGGCCCATGATCCTTGGAGACTACCCACCCTGCAGTGCCAGCACACAACCCAGCAGGTAGGCCTTGCCACTACTGCCCAACTCCATCCCCAGCCTGGACAAGTGCATGCTGACAAGAGAGGCGCCTCCCCTGAGAGGCCCAAGATCTGAGGTGACCACGCACCTGAGGCACTAGTGGGCAATCAACCAAGTAGACACTGAGGCAGCCATACGAAATTGGCAGCCCCAGCACATCCTAGCCAGACAATAGTGTCAAACCAGTGGACTGTGAAATCCCCTGCCACAATGACTAAACATCAAAGGAAAGATACCAGAAATATGAAAAATCAAGAAATATGAAAATCTCAAGATCTAGATCCTATAGAACAAGAAGCCCTTGAAATGTCTGATGAGGAAATTTGAGTGATAATTCTAAGGAAACTAGATGAGATACAAGAAAACTCAGCTAGACAACATGATGAAATGAGGAAAAGTATACAAGACCTGAAAGTAGAAATGTACAAGGAAATCAATGCCCTGAAAAAGAATGTAGCAGGGCTTGCTGAACTGAAGAATTCATTCAACCAAATAACACAACAGAGAGTATAACCAACAGGCTTGCAGAAGCAGAAGAGAGAACTTCTGACCATGAAGATGGGCTGTCTGAAATAACACAGGCAGACAAAGAAAAAGAAAAAAGAATTAAAAAAATTGAAGAAAATCTAAGAGAGATATCAGACAACATTAAGCACTCAAATATTTGAGTCATAGGTCTTCCAGAAGGGGAGGAAAAAGGAGATTTCATTGAAAATATATTCAACAAAATAGTGGCAGAAAACTTCCCAGGTATAGGAAAAGACACATATCTTCAGATTCAGGAAGCTCAAAGATCCCCAAAC